TATGTTCTCCATTTCTGTTTGGGTATTTGGATATACTCTGCCTTATGCTGTTTTGATACCTTGGCTCATGTTGTAATGGTTTGTTTTTAGTAGCTTTCTTTGGGTTTCATGGGTGTGGGTTTTTGGGGTATTTTTAATATTGTGTGCGTGCGCGTGCATGTGCATGGCTGGAAGTCATGGCTACCTCTGGGGACTGACCCTCAGGTGGCTGAGTAAAGCCTGCCCCCACCTCCTGACTGCTGGTATTCCAAGGAGGTCTCCCATCCAAGTATTTGCCAGGGTCCACCCTGCTTAGCTGCCGAGATCGGGCTTGCCTGGGCTATCCAGCTCAGGGCTAATGGGTGTGTTTTAATGGTTTTACCTTCTTGCAAGTAGATTTGAGCAGGTCTCTGGAAAGGCAGTATGTGAATTTTCTGCCCTTTTCAACTTCTTAGGCTAGGTGGAAGATGGCGTCTTCCACTTAGAATTTTTTAACTGTCAGTTACTCTTGGCTTTGTTGTTTTGGACTACAAATAATACTGTCACCTTTTGTCTTTTTTCCATCCATCCAGATCCTGAACTCTTTATACCTCCCAAACTCAACAGAAGCATCCAGTGGAAACTGAGCCTTCTGCAATAATTCGAGCTACACAGCTGTTGATGGATTGTGATGCAATGAGGCATGTCACATGCACCAACCCCCACGTCACAATTGGTTGTGAGTCCTGAAGACAGACAAAAAGCAAACAACTGTTGCTGCCAGGATATCTGATTGTAGACTTTCTTATTATTATTCCATAGCACTCCTTGGATGTATTACCCGGAATAAATAGGTGCACCTCTTAAGGATATGTCCGGCAAGTTAAACCAACAGCTCCTTGACACTGTTCCATTATGTTGTTTCAGTACAACATTTGGGCTAGTTAGTCCCTTTTTCCATGCTGAGAATATAAATTAAAAAAATATTACGACAGGTGTACCAAGATTAACAGTGCTTGCATTTCCTCGCTGAAACATGGGACTGATTATCTTTATGCTTGTGTAACAAAAGTAATTTGCCTTACTTAATTTATTATTTTACTTCTTTGGAGGACTTATTCTAGTACTGATATAGCTGGAAAGTATTGACTGAAGGCCTGGTTTAGGATGATCAAAAATGTACCTTAAAGGGCTCTGACAAAATGAGTACTGACGGAAATTTCCCCCCAAATCAGGGGGGGGGGTTGTATGGATTGTTGTAACTTTTTGCTTCTGGGTCTCTGCTGTTCTTCCTGTGTATAACCTCCATATTTTCAGGGTCACTGCAAAGAGTTGTTGAGTCATTCCAGTTTCCAGTGACCGATGAAGAATATTTATTTTGCATTCTATATTCAGATATGTTATCTCCCATTGACATTTCGATCTACTGCCAGTAGTCCATGCCTTCAGCTACCTACCAGGCCCCTGCATATGATACCAATCTGTACAAATGTAAAGATTTCTTTGTACAAAGAGAGCCGGTGTGCTGCAGGGTGTTAGACTAAGATCCGGGAGAGCCAGGTTCGAATCCTCACTTTGCCACAGACGTTTGGTGGGTGACACACACTGTCAGCCTAACTTTTACCTCACAGGGTTGCTGTTCTGAGGACGAAATGGGGGAGAAGAGAACAATATTTTAAGCTACTTTGCGTCCCCATTGTGGAGAAAAGTAGGCTATAAGTATCTAAACTACTAACCAAATGAATATGGGGGGGGAGGGGGAGCACAAAACATGGTGATTGCTGTAAAATTCAGCTGCCTGAAGGCCAAGCTCCAGCCAGACCCATCTGTCACTTCCCTATAGTGGAAAAAAAGCAGCAGGGGGTAAATTCTAGCAACCCACTGGAAGATAAAGGGTTAAGAAAGGCAGGCTCCATCGATTTGCATGTGCGTCTGTGAGAGTGTGATAAGTCTCTGAGAACTTCAGTCTTTATTTTTAAGGCAAGTTGCTAACCAATCAGGTTGCAAAGAGGTAGGCAATGCATGTGAGGGCCACTTCTGGAGTCGCACTTACGCCTGTGGTGTCGCACTGATACCTGTGCTCCCTGCTGGCGGGAGAGAGACTACCCCCAAACCACAGCAGATATCTAGCACATTCAGAATCAATTAGGTTAACTAATCAACATCCAGAATAAATTCTGTAACATAAGTGCTGGATCTAAGCCAGTGCCCTTTGAAATAATAGTAAATGTTCTTTGTATTGTGAAGGGTTTTCTAGAGGATCTCTTTGCCCACAAAAAGAACCCTTGTCTCTCGCCCCCCCCCCTTAGTGCAGCCATAGTACCAAAGTATCCTGCCCCCAAAGAATTTAATGTAGACCTGTTATTGGGGCAAAGCCAAATTTTAAAGGGCTTTGCCCCAATATAAACCAATAGCCAAGCAATATGCTTTGTAGACAGAAGGTCACGGGCAGCTCAGGGAAGACGCGCATTTGATTTGTTCTGGTTTTGCAGTCTTAACCCTCCTTTCACTTTGGTCAGTCTGTCTGGCTTTGAAAGCTGTATTTTTCTACTTCCTCTGTCGGCAGTGGGGCCCAGGGGAGGATCTGACACAAGAACAGCATGTTTCATGTGGAAAATACACTCCCATATGTCCTGAATGGTACCCCAGTCCCTTAACTGGTCCAAGGGTTGACAAGGCTCTGGGGTATTCCGGCACCCTGAAGTTCCTTGCCAAAAGTTTGTCTCCTGTTTTCACTGTCTCTTGGAAGTGCTTACCTGCGATCAACGAGATCGCGATCACGTCGGCTGGCTTCTGCTCCCCAGCAAACCCACCCTTGCAGGACAGTCCCGGTATCGATGAGAACAGCTCTGGTTATCATCCTTGCACTTGTGCAACACAATGCTCTGTTTGTAGGTCACCTACACGCTAGACCCAAGCACTCATTTTCAGGGAGAAGGAAAGATGCAAAACTAGATTGTCGTGTCCTGAAGCAACCTCTTTCAGACTAGTGAAGTACGGAGTCCAGGAAGCATTACTTCGGCTACGGCATGCCCACATATTTTGCATGTTTACCCTGCCCACACTAAAACAGGTGTGGTTGTCATAAATGTTAAATATCAAGTTCCACCGTGATCGCTCAGGACCAGACACTACCGCACACTGCATGTTACACTTATGCAAGGGAACCTTGAAAACGGGTACAGGAATCAAACAAGTTGAAAGACAACAAATACAGTACATGTTCAGGAACCCAAATTTCATTGCAATATTTTATTTATTTATTTATTTATTTATTTAATCTGATATATATTTTTTAAATCCCACCCTCCCCACAAGCGGGCCCAGGGCGGGTTACACATCACAGTGCAACACTATCATCAAATAGTTAAAAACCATATTTCTCGTAAAACACAAACCAAACACAAAACTGGGTGGATTTGCCTCGACACTGATGCTCAGTTTGAGCTGGATTCATTTGGCCGGAGACATATCTGATTACAATATTTTTCCCCCCTCCCACCCTCCCTTTGAAAATGGGTACAGAGATAAAGCAAGTATTTGATCCTGTAATGTAGAAGTACCGTCCTGCAGCTTTGCATCCAGTTTCATTATCTCAGTGTGCCGGTGCTGTATAACAGAGTGCTGGACCTAGGATCCCAGGTTCAAATCCCCACTCCACTATAGGAGCTTTCTGGGTGACCTTGCGCCAGTCACACACACACACACACACACACACTCAGCCTAACCTACCTCCCAGGGCTGTGAGGATAAAATGGAGCCACTTTGGGGCCCCACTGGGGAGAAAGGTACGGTGTAAATGAAGTAAGTAAATACATGAAAGGAAGTTACCTCATTACAGACAACAAGAAGGTCTAACAGTCAAGT